GGGTACAGCCCTACCTTTCTCCTGGTCCCCTTTCTTCATCCTCTACTCTGTTTGGCTCATCTGTGATGACTGTGTAAACACAAACAAGTATGTTAAGACCCAGATACACCGGCCCGAAATCGGCAGTAAATGGGAGTCGGGCCGAACATGAGCGTGGGCACGCCCTATTCGGAGTGGTGTGCGCCGCACCGTCGGGTCTTTTCTGCCGACCTGATGCCTTTTCTTGCCGATTCAACATGTTGAATCGGCATCGGGAACACCACCGTGGTGTTCCCGATGCCGATTCAACATGTTGAATCGGCAAGAAAAGGCATCAGGTCGGCAGAAAAGACCCGACGGTGCGGCGCACACCACTCCGAATAGNTCTTGGAAAGGCCTCCTTCATAAAGGAAAACAGCATGGACAGCAGCTTAATATTTTTGTTCTGACCAAAACATGAATCGCTGAACAATCGCAGCCTCTGAGCTGTTGACGTAAACAGTGGTCCAGAGCTGAAGCAGTCACATTGCTACCTTTTCTATTCTCATGCTCCATCCATGTGTACAGATGAACATCATCCACTGCTTGCTTACTTCCCGTCCCATGGTGAATAACGACACCAAAGAGATACATGTATAGCTGTCTTGAATAGTATGCCTGACCTATGGCGGTTTTAGGGAGTATCAAATTCTGCATCATGATCTACCTGCCCCCCCAGCAAATCATAGAACACCCGTGCTCTTCTCCTGGGTAGGATGTAGGATGCAGACTCACTGCATTTCTCTTCTTCAGTCAAGCTGGGGTCCTTGACTCTCAGTTGAAACCTGGCACAGGAAGAACAGGCATCTGTGGCAGGATGCCAGAATCCAAGGTTGAATTGGTGTCGAAAAACAGTGTAATACAGGGAGTAGCTGACTACATCATCAAATCAAATCAAATCAAGTTTTATTTATATAGCACATTTATAAACTATGTTTGGTCGAGCCAAAGTGCTGTACATATAATCAAAAATAGCCTACAGTAGAGACACTTTACAGCTAATACAACAGCACAGATTATTCAGAATATCAGTATGAGAAAAACGACACCAGACGCATGGTTGTGTTGGTCGAATAGTTTGTGCATTCTTTTCACACTGAGGTCACAGGATAGGTATTTCCGGCCAGGTGCTCTCCTTCTTCCATAATGGCTAGCCTCGAGACACACGATCCTTGCCAATACCTGCAATGACAGAAAAATCACATTTTGTTTGTATGTATGTAGGTGTGTTTGTAGTATATATGTG